GTGGCTTTCTAAACTTTGTTCAGCTAGAAAAAGTGGGGTGTTTACAATTTCCCTTTTTTGTCTATAATTTTTTAAGTTTTATTTATGTTTAGAGATAAAAATCCAATTTTAGTTCTTAAAACAAATATTCAATTTTATATATAAATGTTTCGAACTAGAGAAAATTAAAAATCTTGGAAAACGCAAACTCTTTAAAACATTTCCATGTTTAGGTCATTATTACTTTTGGGTGAAAGTCAAATTAAGCTAATTTGGAGACTCTTTTTTTTTTAATTGTTAAAAAAGATTCATTAATTAAACGGAATATAAGGTTGCAACCTTAAAATGTAGAATAACAGATGCAAAATATATGGAAAATGTTGTTTTAGTGTGGAAAAACCTTCTAATTGATCATCGCGACATCGAAATGTATGAATATATATAAAAAAGTTTTGGATTTCTTGGAATAGTACATTTTGCAACATATTATCTAGACCATCCATTTTTAAGATTTTAATTTTCATATGTTTTTAGATATACTTGATTTTAACCATTTTTAAAGTTAAAAATTTTCTAATTAGATATGAAAATGTATTTTAAGATAGTCCTAAGAATTTTTTAAAACAAAATTACATATTATGATAAAATTTGCAGGTGCGCTTTAATTGAATTGTTTAAGGTTGCAACCTTATAGAAACCACACCCTTAATTAAAACATGGATGTGTGCAACGACTAGTGTATGAAGAAAACACAAGAAAAGGAGAGATGAAGGAAAGAAAATTCCGCTTAGCTCCCACACATGATCGATTTTGAGTACAACTTGGATTTAACCCGCTCATATCAAAATTTAGATTAGTTAAAAGCAGATAACATTAATCATCATCATGAGAGTTTTTTTCAACTAATTATAGTTAACTACATGAATATTCATTCATCATTATGCTCTATTAAAGACTGTACCATAATTGAAGAAACAAAACAATACCAAATACATGTATTTTATCCTAATCGAGACCGAAAGCCATTTGAGAGCAGCCCAGACCTCACATAGGCAATATGACCGGACCATTTACAACCCTAATTACCTGGTTCAAGGGCATTTATGGCACACAATATATTCTCCATATGCTTTGAGAAAGTAGGTGGCTGTTGCTTTATGGGGAAATGGGGAGAAAGGGAAATCATTGAGGAATTTAATGTGGATGTTGGCTTTATGGATAATTTTTGGCAATATTTTAGTGCTCTCTTTTCTTCTAAAGTCACAAAAAAAAAGGTCTCTTGCTTCATTGACACGACTCATCACTAAATTTATCAAATCATATTCCTATCTATGCATTGTTGTACTTAGTTTTTCCTCCAAAGTCGTATGGTTGAACGGTTCAGATTTCTTTTCACTTAATGGATGGTGGAGATTGTCTCGAGAAGTTTTGGATTGCCGTTTGGTCCACGGAGTGAATAGAAAGAGGAGAGGGGTGGATAATGATAATGGAGGTCAAGATGAACGGTCCAGATTCTTTTTTTGACATGCCAGTTGTATTTGATTTTTTTTTTTTTTTTCTAAAATGGCTAAATTTGATGAATTATATTTGATAAAAGACTTTGATGATGGCTAAATTTAATGAATTATTAGTTCTAATCCATCACGAGGTCACAAATTTTGGTTGCCGATTTGTATCACAAGTGAGAAATGTTGTTCATTAGTATTTTGAGTATGCTTAGAGAACTCCCGTGGTAGCATACTGCACTCTTGCTCCGGTGTGCAAAAGAACCACTTCGAAGGCTATTTCTTTGCATTTCTGATATCAAATTTAGAACTATCACATGATTTTTTAAAAAGAGGAAATTTGCCAAATTACCTCAAATTACCTTGAGAGATGAACAATTTAATACCTATTTAAAATACTTTGATCTTGAGTTAGAATAATTGCAAACGGGTATAATGTTAAATAATTTATATCTTATTAGCATTTTGATAAATTTATCTTCTTAAAGGCTGAGATTTTGAGCCCCTAGCCACATAGATTTGCTTCTTTCTTAAACAACCTGGATTCATTTTTAGGACTTCCTTTTTTTTTTTTTGCCAAGACACAAATGAAGTGCATATCTTTTTATTTATTTTAATTACATCTCTAAATTTTGGAGTCTTAAAAATAAGATATTTGATATGATTTTGCCAAGTAGCCGACCTCAATTAGTTAAAAAAAAGTTCTGATGATGATGATGATATGAATTTTTTCAATACAATCTTTTGGCTAGAACTAATCCTGACCCTCCATTAGAATCATAAGCATCCAGTCAATTCAGTAGTAGAAGTTAAAGACAGTGCCGCAGGTGAGTTGGAACTAGGAGACATAAATGACTTGACTCGAATATAGTTGGGCAAATTTTTGTTTTTGTTTTTTTTTTTTTGGTGGGGAGAAATCTTTAGGTAATTATCCATTCACATTACACTTGTGGACGCTTTATGTGATTTTATTTGAGTTAGATTTATTTACTTTTTTTTCTGTTCTTTTTCTCTCTCTAAGTTGGGCATATGCTTTCATGCGTTTACATGAGCATAAAGAAACTGACATTAACTTTATTTAGTTGGGAATAAAGCGCATAGCCAGAGGAACATTGACGCTTTAACTGAATTATAATTTGTTTGTGCTTTAAAAACTTCACCGGCCTAGAGAGAGAGAGAGAGAGAGAGAGAGAGTGTGTGTGTGTGTGTTTTGAGATTTTGACATAGTAATATGAAATTAAGACAGCAGTCAAAAATTTGAGGAATAATGAGATTTGAGGACGAGAGAGTCAAATATTATGGAGTTATGGACAAGAGTATAATAAGAAACCAGAGTTATAGCTTGAGGAGTTATTACTTGATAGGGTACTCCCATGGGAGCACATTGTATGTTTATTCTCTTAGGGTATCTATATTTGGGAGCTTTTTTTGCCTTGAAATTTTGGAATCCGCTTTGAAATATCTAAACATGTATTTCTTCTTCAATTTTGGACATTTTTTTGACCAAAATAACTTTCATGGTAGTTGTATTACTGTGAAACACCATTACAATACTAAGCACCGTAAAAACTAACCCATGTTATACATCATTTTATATACGGTTAGGAGTTGACGTATTATTACGACACTTGAAATGCCGTAATAGTATTGCACCCTATAAACCCTACTCAAAATCTTTAACCCTCAATTTTTGTATTTTATCTTCTTAAGGTATATAAAATGCCATATAACATGGGTTAATGCGACTATCATGAAGCTTATTTTGATAAAAAAAACCCAACATTGGAAAAAACAAGTGTGGACAAAGTTTATGAAAGTTGATGGTTTTTTTCTAAATAGATAAAAATTAAGGTATATTTGTAATAATTTTCTTAGATTCAACCTTGAGAAGCTATTTTTGTTGTCGCACATTTATTAACAGTTTTTATTTTTAAACATTTGTTCTAAAAAAGTGATTTATTTTTGTTTTTACTTTGATGTTGGTGGTGCCGAAAACGTTACATCCCCAATATCTCATGAGCACATATACTATGTTGCTTCCACTTGGTTAGAAGACCTACTTTGGAGGATTTTTTCAATTTAATTTTTTTGCGAAAATTAGAATGAGTAGATGATTATTCACAAAAAAAAAATTGGAAATTTTAATTTTCTAACACTTAGATCTCACAGTCTTGGATCGAGGCATCTCCTTGGCACATGATATGGATTGTGGCCTTACTATCATTCAGAGTGATCTAAGTTGCTAGTTGACTCACTCATCTACCACAGTTCTCCTCAGTGAAGGCTTTAGATCCTCTTGTCCAATTGTAGGGCAAAGTTCTTCTCCTTTACAGCTCACCAGTGGTAAATATTAAAAGTTCTTCTCCTTTGCAGCTCACCAATGGCAAATATTGCATGTATGCCGGGAGGCGAATTTGATTGTTGATGGCCTGGCTCAGCAGGATCCATTCCTGGCTCAATCCACAATTGGGCAGACATGTCCCACTGATTTGTCACTCCCATCATTTTGCGGGACAATACCAATGTCCCCCTCGAAAAGCCTGCTTAATTTCTTGTACATGTTAATTTTTAATAAAAACAAAACACACATGGGTGCAATTAGAACGCACATGGGTGCAATTACAATCTCCACACATTATTTTTTCAAGCGCACAAAGGGTGCAATTAGAACGCATTCCTTTATAGATTAGGGGGTTACATCCCCAAAATTTTGGAGTTGTTAAGGTAATTCTAAAAGAGGTTTTACTCAAGGGAGTAAATGGACATTCTACTCCCACAGGAGGGAGTAAATGGACATTCTACTCCCACAAGGGAGTAGAATATCTTTTTGCCTCCTAGATATAGAGCGCGTCTGTACGAGGGAGTGAATAAACAGTATGCTCCCGCGAGAGCATGCGATCTTTTGGAGCGCAGAGTAGGAGAGTTAAAAATCGAAGCAGATGTGAAGGAGAAAGGACACAAATCCATTAGCTTTTCACGAGAAAAGGGTTTTATAGGTTTGTAACCATTTTTAGAGAGAGAGAGAGAGAGAGAGAGATTTAAGAGAGAGAAAGGGGAAGATAGAGAAAAATTTGAACTTTAAATGTCTTAGCAATGTCATCCTTGTTTTGTGGATTTGGTACAAGAGACAGAGAGAGACAGTGAAGAGAGTCATTCATGGTAGCAGTAGTACCAGTAGAGAGAGAGAGAGAGAGAGAGAGAGAGAGAGAGAGAGAGAGAGTACGTAGTACGTAGTCTCTTCTTCTTCGTTTGTTTGTTCGTTGTTGTCGTAGTAGTAGTAGAGGAGAGTAGTAGTAGTAGTGTAGTTAGTTAGT